AGAGAATATATATTTTCTTATATATGTATATGTATATGTGTATTATAAGAAATATATATTGGAAAAGAAGTATCAAAGTAAAATTTTGGTACCAGAAGATTTATGCATTAAACTTTTCCCCTCATTTCTTTGTTTCTTTCCCTTTTTTTTGGCCATGCAGCTTACGAAATCTTAGTTCCCCAACCTGTGCCCTCTACAGTGAAAATGAAGAGTCCTAACCATTGGACCTCCAGAGAATTCTCTAAACTTTTTGATAAATATTACCAAATATCCTCCTGAAAAGGCAGTGGACACACTTGCAGAATGACAGCCATCCATCTCCTCACAGGGCCACCTTCATCAGCTGTTAGCAAGCCTTTTATCTCTGCTAACCTGAGAAGTGAAAGATAATTGGTTTGTGCTATGCTAATTTGCGTTTTCCTAAACATTGAAGAGGGGACTTCCCAGGCAGCTCAGTGGTAAAGGGTCCTCCTGCCAGTGCAGGAGACACAAGTTCAGTTCCTGCGTTGGGAAGAGCCCCTGGAGAAGGAAATGGCAACCCACTCCAGTATTCTTGCCTGGAAAATTCCATGGTCAGAGGAGCCTGGTGGGCTACAGTCCTTGGGGTGGCAAAGAGTCAGACACGACTGAGCGACTAAACGACAAGACGACACTGAAGGAGACCGAACACCTTTTCTCGTGTTTAATGACCAGGTACTTCTGTATCCTTTGCCCATGTTTGCAAGAAAGGTTGCATATTAAATAGGTGTTTGAAATACTTGGCATTTTTCTAGAAGTAGAAACATGGCCGTCCCTGGAATAATTCCATCTCAGGCTACATGGCCACTTGCTGCAGAGGGATGAAGGGGTTTTCATTTCATGGGGAACTGGAACTTATAACCTTAATATTTCAGACTATATTCAAAAGTTTCCTCAATTCTAATGTATTTTTATTTTCTACATATCACTACAATGATTTTCTTAATAAAAAAAGTTTTGGGGAATGACTATTTCATTTTTCTTTGATTTCTGCCACTTATGTGTCTTTAAAAAATGTCCATTGGACATGACTTTGATTTGTCATAAGGTTTGATTTTTTACCCATTTTTCTGACTCCTACAGATTGTGAACTGTATCAGCTGGGACTCTTTGAGGTGCGGTTCCTAGGACTTAGGCTAAAAGGAGCTGAAAGTTGTTGGCTCGTATAGCTGGAAGAACCAGGGGTAGGGGCCTGGGGTAGGAGCTTGGAGCATGGTTGGATCAGTCCCACAAATTCTGTCCTTTGGAGTTTCTCTTTGTTTCTGCACCCTGCTTTCCTCTGTGTTGGTCTCATCATTGGGGAACCTGTTCTCTCTTGGTGGCAAAATTGTCCCTATTATCTCAGGCCTGCATTCTTCCAGCTTTAGAAATAGGTTGAGGAGGAGACCACCCCTTTTCAGCTCACACGCTTTTCCAGAAAAAGTGTGAAGAGTTTTCATTGGCTGATCTTAGGTCACATGGCATCTCCTACCCCATCCTTGTGGCCAGGGTGATTCAGTGTTCTTATTGGCCAGGCCTGAGTCACATGGCCCTTCTTGGACTGATGGGTTTCATCATCCCCTCAGGAAGCTGAAAGAGTTTTCATCCCCCCAGCTTAGGTAATAAGGCCATCCTTGATCAGTCCTTGTGGCCACAGTGGTTTCAGTATTTTGATTGGCCAGGTTTGGATCACGTGGCTCCCTTAGGCCCTCTAGGTTTTAGTAGAAGACCGCTCAAGAAGCTCTCTGGTGGTTCAGCAGTAAAGAATCTGCCTACCAATGCCAGAGACATAAGAGATGCAGGTTTGATCCCTGGATAGGGAAGATGCCCTGGAGAAGGAAATGGCAACCCATTCCAGTATTCTTGCCTGGGAAATTCCATGGACAGAGAAGCCTGGAGGGCTACAGTCCTTGCGGTCACAAAGAGTTGGACTGGACTTAGCTACTACACAACAAGAAGTTGAGGATCTGAGAGTGGGATTTGAGGTGCTAGGAAAGCAAGGACCAGTTTTGGGCAGGCAAAAGCAACAACTCTGCACTACAGAACCTTGCAACAAGAGTCTTGACTTTGTTCTTAAGATTCCAGCTTTGGGTTGCAGTCTTTTGCTTTAATCTGTTAGCACTTAATTTCATTCCTGTTATTTTGTTTTCTATATTTCCCCCATCTGTTTAGAATCACACAAGTAATACATAAATATATTCTTTTGTTAAAAGCTACTGCTATCTTAGGAATCTTCAGTAAAACATAAAGTCTCCCTTCAACATGCCTCCGGATCCCACAGTCCAGAGAGAACTTCAATTATTATTTGGTATGCATCCTTCTAGACCTCTCTTTATGTGTTAATAGAGGTACCTATATAGATTATTAATGGTTTTATTTTATTCATGCTTCAACTCTTTTCAAATTAATTTATTGGCGGCACTGGATCTTCATTACTATGAGAGGGGGCTATTCTCTAGTTGTGGTGCATGGGCTTCTCATTCTGTTGTTGCAGAGCATGGGTTCTAAGGGGCTCCGGCTTCAGTAGTTGCAGCACACGGCTCAGCAGTTGTGACACATGGGCTTAATTGCCCCCAGCATGTGGACTCAAACCCATGTCCCCCTGCATTGGCAGGCAGATTCTTAACCACTGGACCACCAGGGAAGTCCTAATTGAGATTCTTGAATAAATAAACATAATGATTCAGACATCAAAAACTGTATAAAAAATCTTATGTGAAAAGTCTCGCCTTCATCCCTGTCCCCATTCACTAAATTCTCATGCCCCCAGTAGGTAACATCTGTGATCAATTTCTTCTCTATTCCAGGGAAGTTTTTTGCATTTGCAATTCACCGCAAATATCTATTCATAGTATTCATATAGTATTCATAAGTACAAATATCTATTCATAAGTATGTTCTAATTTTTTTTCCCTCTTAACAGTAAGTCTTGGGTATTATTCCATATTGATGAGGATTTGTTTAATCATTTCACTCTTGATGGACATGGAGGTTAGTTTTTCCATTTTTTCCCATTATAAGCTCTGCTATGATGAGATCTTTTATTTATTTATTTAGCTGTGTTCAGTCTTAATTGTGGCACATGGGATCTTTGTTACACCATGTGGGATCTTTTCTTGCGGCTCAAGGGCTCTCTAGTAGTGGCATGAGGGCTTAGTTGCACTTGGGATCTTAGTTCCCCGATCAGGGATTGAACCATGTCTGCTGCCTTGCAAGATAGATTCTTAACCACTGGACCACCAGGGAAGTCCCCATGATTAGATCTCTGGACAAACATCTCTGCTATGATGAAAATCCTTGTACGAACATCTTTGTGCATACAGGCCACTGTTTCTTTAAATACGTTCCTGGAAGTGCAAGTGCTGGGTCAAAGCATTTTGACACATACTGCATTTTGATAGTACCTGCCAAACTGCCTTCCAAAAAGGCCCTTACTAATTTACACCATCACTGACAGAGGCTGAGTGTGCCCATCTCCCTGTATCTTTGCCAACACTAGATGTTATCCATCTTTCACAATTTTGCCAGTGTGATGAATAGAAAAGAATACCTTGTTTTAATCTGTATTATCCCAATGATTAATTAGATTTGGCATCATTTCCTGTGCTCATTTTTTCTTCTTTGTGTTGTCTGTTCACATCTGTTGCCCATTTCTCTTTTGGGCAGTCTCTCTTTGCTGATGTCATTCATTTGTGCATTGGGCAAGCCACAGTAGAAGGCCGGTTACTTGCCAGACATGGTTCTAGGCACAGGGGAATACATAGGTGAAGAGGGATACAGCCTCTGCCCTCATGAAGCTTATAGTCTAGAAGCAGACCAAAATCAAAAGCCTCATGAGTAAAGACAGTTATCCGATGGTGTTTAAGTGCTGAGGAGACAAAGGGAGCTGGATAAAAGGGAATTCTTTTACTGTTAAAAGAATTCTTTTACTGTTAAAGAAACTAGTTCCTTGCTCTAACACACTTTAAATGTTTTTCCAGTTTGTCTTTTGCCTTCAAGTCTAGAAACTTTGGTTGACACAAAACTATTCTTTGTGGCCAAGTTTATAAATCTTTCCCTTTACGGTTTATATGCTTGGAAACATTTTCTCCATCCCAAGATTGTAAAAACATTTGCCCAGATTTTCTTGGTATGCCTTATGGATTTACTTATTCTACTTAAGTCTTTAATCCATCTGGAATTGTTTTCAGCATAAAGAGTGAGGAAGGGATCCAGTGAAATTGGTCAGCAACTTGGCCCATGACCATTCATTGAATAATCCATCTCCTTGGAGATTGGAAATGGCATCTATAAACTATATGAATTCTCCTGTGTATTTGGGTCTGCTTTTCTGTCCCTGTGGGCCATGAACCATTTAAATCACTATAGCTGTATTTATTTAAAATTATTTAAATTATTTATTTATTTGGCTTCTCCAAGTCTTAGTTGTACATGTGGGATCTTTATTTGTGGCATGCCAACTCTTGAGTTGCGGCATGTGGGATTTAGTTCCCTGACCAGGGATTGAACCCCGGCCCCCTGCATTGGGCGCTTGGTCTTAGCCACTGGACCACCAGGAAAGTCCCTGTATATGTTTTTGATATTTGAAAAGATTGACTTTCTGGGTAAATTACCTAACTTTTCTGGGCGTCAGTTTGCTCCTCTATAAAACAGGGATACCACCAACCTTGAAGGGTTTTTGTGAGAACTGATGGGCTGCTTTAGTCTAGGGACTCAGGCAAGCCTCATTGAAAAGGTAATAAGTAGTTGAACTGAAATCTGATTGACGGGGAAGAGCATGTCTGGCAGAGGAAATAGCAACAGCAGAGGCCCTGAGGCGGGAGCTAGCTTAGTGGGTTGCAGGGATCAGAGAGGAGGACAGCGCTTCTGGAAGGAATTGAGTAAGGGGAGAGTGAATAGTGGGCCTCGACCAGGGGGTTGGCTGTCATCATAAAGGTACTGGGGAGCCACAGCGGGATCGGGAGGGAGGCCGGGGCCTGCTGACCCTGCCCGTCTCTCTTCAGTCGATGGAGTCGCAGGTGGAGGAGTGGTACCGCGAGGTGGGGGAGTTGCAGGCGCAGACGGCAGCGCTGCCCCTGGAGCCGGCGAGCAAGGAGCTGGTGGGCGAGCGGCAGAACGCGGTGGGCGAGCGCCTGGTGCGCCTGCTCGAGCCGCTGCAAGAGCGCCNCTGGCCAAGTTTCGAAGTCAGAGAGACTTCCCTGGAGGAGGGAATATCTAAGCTGAGACGTCAAACAAGAGCTGAGCCTGCTGACGGGTTGGGAGGGGAATTCCAGGAAGCACTACCTGCCTGTGCAAAAGGCCAGAGGTAAGCAGGAGCCTGACTCAAGTGCAGAGAGCCAGTTAGAGCGTGTCTAGGGAGGAGGTGGAAGACAGGAGCAGGCGTTTAGTTGAGGGAGGCCCTTGGTTGCTATGGAGGCTTGGATGCTTGCAGTTTAGTTGAGATGGAGGGGTCCTTGCCCTGCTCACTGTGTCCTTCCCTTGACCTGTTCCCTGATTCCTTTCCAGGCATGGGTCCAGGAGAGACTGCCACTGGCCATGCAGACAGAGCGAGGCAGTGGTTTGCAGGCCGTCCAGCAGTACATCAAAAAGAACCAGGTGAGCAGAGCCAGGGCAAGGGAGTGGGTCTGGACACATTTGGATACAAATGACAGAAAATGCTCAAGGTGGTTAAAGCTGAAGAGGGGAATTTATAGGCTCTTTAATTGAGGAGACCGTGAACAGCAGATACAGAGGTGTCCAGGTGCTTCCAAGAGGTCATGAATCTCTCATTTCCATTTTTTTCCTTCCTATTAGCTTTGTTCGCAGGCCAGCTCTTCTCTCCTGCTGGTAAAAGAACTCACAACAGATTCAAGTTTACATCCCACCAGGAAAACTAAAGAGACTCGCTCTCAGTAATTTCAGTAGTCGTCCCAGGAATAACTCTTTTTGGCTCAACTTGAGTCTCATGTCCACTCTGAACTAATCATGATGGCCAGGGATTTATACTGCTCTGAATGGCCTGGTCTGGGCTGAGGACTCAGCCTTGGAACCTGCGGTGAGATCAGCCTTAATTATCTGGGCTGAGATGGAGGCAAGGCGGTTCCCCAAAAGAAAATCAGGGTCCTGTGACTGGAACTAAGGAAAATGGCTATTGGGCCATGAAAAAAGAAAACAACAGACAAACAAGAACTCCAGGGACTTCCCTGGTGGTCTGATGGTTAAGACTCCACACTTCCACTGCAGGGGTCATGGATTTGATTCCTGGTCAAGGAACTAAGATACTGCATTCAGTGCAGCTGGAAAATAATAATATAATAGTAATAATAATAATAATACATTGATCAAATATTTACTATGTATCAAATACTGTCCTGGGGGTTATGTCAGATATTTAATCTCTGCAATAACTCTATGATGTAGATATTGTCATTACCTCCTTTTATAAAAATATAAGTATAGTTTGGGAGAATAGAGCACTGAAGAATGGTAGGGAGGTGGGCACACAAATTATTTTGGAAAGATTCGTGATCATGCACTACTAGGTGAAGTTCTTTAAGAGGCTGGGGGTTTTCTTCAGTTTTGTTTTTCTATCTTGATGAAAATACTGCTGGTGGTGGACCATGCTAGGAACAAACAAAACTGGCCCATCATTTTCACAGTTGAGGGAATCAGTCAAGTGCATTTAATATTTAAAATTGGAGATGCTTGAGCTGTGTGTGTGAGAGATTGCTAGATACACAGGGGCTGGGAAACAAACAATAGCGGCTAATGTTGATTGAGCACCTACTGCATGCCAGGCACAGTTGTCAGTGCTCTGCGGTACAGCAACCCTACAAGGTAAATATTCGGGGGCCACCACTAGCCATGTGCCTTTGGCAGGTTCTTCAACCCCCCCCATGCCTCAGTTTCCCCATCTGTAAAATGAGAGTGATGCTTGGCTCCTGGAGTTGGAGTGAGGACTAAATGAGTGGCTACAGGGACTTCCCTGGCGGTCCAGTGGTTAGGACACTGCCCTTCCACTGCAGGGGGCACAGGTTCCATCTCTGGTTGGGGAACTAAGGTCCCACATGCCACACAGTGTGGCAAAAAGAAAAAGAAAGTGGCTACATTATGCAAAGCCCTTACTTAGCAAAGTGCCTGGCAGGCACTGGGTGTTGACTGTTGTTATTTTGTTATTAGTTAATATCTCCATTTACCAGTTGGGAAAACAGAGGCAAAGGAGAGGTTAGCTAAAGAACTCAGCAAGTACAGAGCTGGTTGAGAGAACCTTCGGGGGGTTGATGGAAGTATTCTGTATCCCGATCTGGGTACACAGGCATAATAATGTGTAAAACGTGTCCAGCTGTATTCCTAAGATGTGTGCACTGTTGGGGTAAATTATACCCCAACCTCTGTTTAGGCCTTTGTTGGGATCATTAGGCAGGTATCGTGAATCACCAGGGATCTTGTTTGAAAGCAGAGTCTCTGGATCCAGCTTCTTGTGTTCAAATTCTGTCAGCCCTTACTAGCTGCTTGTTCTCCCAACGTACTTCGCCTCTGCTGCCTATTTTCCCACCTGCGACAGGGGAGGATGAATGAGGAGGAATTGCGAAATGTGGTATCCGGCCTGTGGCCAGCGATCTGCGGCTGTTTGTCACTCTCTCCTGGGCGGTGCCAGTCGTGCAGGCAGCAGGCCTCTGAGCGCCCCTCTCCTCTCCCACCCTCAGGGCCTGCGGCGGGAGATCCAGGCTCACGGGCCGCGCCTGGAGGAGGTGCTGGAGCGCGCGGGCGCCCTGGCGTCGCTGCGCAGCCCCGAGGCTGAGGCCGTGCGTCGCGGCCAGGAGCAGCTGCAGGGCGCCTGGGCCGGGCTGCGGGAGGCGGCCGAGCGGCGGCAGCAGGTGCTCGACGCCGCCTTCCAGGTGGAACAGTACTACTTCGACGTGGCCGAGGTGGAGGCGTGGCTGGGCGAGCAGGAGCTGCTCATGATGAGTGAGGACAAGGGCAAGGTGCGCCCGGGATGGCGGTGCGGGGGGTCGGGGGTGGGGGGCGGTGCGCTGGAGCCCGGGTCGGCCCCTGCTGCCTCATCGCGGGCGCCGTGTTTTCCCAGGACGAACAGAGCACCCTGCAGCTGCTCAAGAAGCACCTGCAGCTGGAGCAGGGCGTGGAGAACTACGAGGAAAGCATCGCGCAGCTGTCGCGCCAGTGCCGGGCGCTGCTGGAGATGGGGCACCCGGACAGGTGGGCGGGGCCAGTTCTTAGGGAATGGTCCGGCAGGATCTGGAGCTTCGCGGTTGGAAATTGGGGCAGGGTCAGGACTGGACGTTGGGGTGGGAGGGGTGGGTCCCTTTTGGCCCCGTGCTGGTGCTTTAGGATTTTGGCAAGTGGTTGGGGTCCCCACATGGAGGAGCGCTGTGCAAGGATGTTTGAAGGTGTGGGGCCAGGAGCACTAGGATTTGAGTGTGTACGGGGAGTTGTCTAGGACTGCGGGGAGAAGTAAGAGCTCAGGGCAGGAAGGGTTCTGTTCCTACCCAGTGTCTGGGAGGACAGAAAAGCCTGGAGCACAGTGAGTGGGTGTGGCCTGAGACCTCCTGGACTGCGGGTCATGTGGCCTCTCTGAGATTAAGTGTAGGGGCCACATCTAGGAGCCTTGGCCCAGGGGTGAAATCTGAGACAGAGGCGCAAGGCTGGACCTCTGTCCTCCTGAGCCTGGAGATCCTGACTGGAGGTGAGGTGGGTTGGCTGGGGAACCAAGTAAGGGGTCTGGAGTCCCCCCGAAGTCGCTAGAAGGGCCAGGTGTTGGACCGCAGCCTGGAAGGCTGGGCACACACGAGGGGATGAGAGAGAGTGATGAGCTTATCAAGCTTAGGGAAGCAGAATTTTCCTTGAGCCCTGAGATGCAAGTGCTGAGTTGGCTGCATCCAAGACTTGCAGAAAAGAGAGTCCTGCATGAAGGAGTCTGGGGGGAGGGGGGAGGGGACTCAGTTCTGCCTGAAGGTTCAGAGGAAACACAGCCCTGCCCTGAGGGGTGGGGGTCGCAGGGGCTCAGAGCTCGGTCCTGGAAGTCTCTGCCCTTCCCTGTCCCCTCCCTGTCGCCTTCAGCGAGCAGATCAGCCGGCGGCAGTCTCAGGTGGACCGCCTATATGTGGCACTCAAGGAGCTGGGCGAGGAGCGCCGGGTGGGCCTGGAGCAGCAATACTGGCTGTACCAGCTCAGCCGCCAGGTGGACGAGCTCGAGCACTGGATCGCCGAGAAGGAGGTGGTGGCCGGCTCCCCTGAGCTCGGCCAGGATTTTGAGCATGTCACGGTGAGCAGCATTAGGAATAAACAGCAATCCAGGGGCCACTGTGTCTGCTACTAAGGTTCTCCGGGCCTCAGTTTCCCCATCCATAATAGGGCGATTGTAATAACACCACCTCATGGCTCTGCTGAGTCACTGATGGATTAATATAACCTGAAGCCGTGGTCCTCACCCTTTTTGGCACCAGGGTTCAGTTGCATGAGAGACGATTTTCCCACGGATGGGGACGAGGGGATGGTTTCAGGATGTTTCAAGCACATTACATTTATCGTGTACTTTATTTTTATTGCATCAGATACACCTCAGATCATAGTTAGATTCCAGAGGTTGGGGACCCCAAAAAAGCGCTTAGGACAGTACTGAACACCCACAGAGTCTAACACAGTGTTAGTTATTATCCTTAGGGTCTTGTTAGTTGCTCAGTCAGGTCCCACTTTTTACAACCCCATGGACTGTAGCCTGCCAGGCTTCTCCATCCATGGGATTTCCCAGGCAAGAATACTGGAGTGGATTGCCATTTCCTTCTCCAAGGAGTCTGCCTAACTCAGGGACTGAACCTGGATCTCCTGCATTGCAGGCAGATTCTTTACCATCTGAGCTACCTCATTTTATTATTGTTAATATTATTGCTACAGAGTGAGTTCTCAGTAAGTGTGGGGTGTTATATTTTGTTCTGATGGTCACCATTAGTGTTGTTATTCTGCCACAAGATGGTGGGTTGGAGGGGGCTCATGTCTACGGCACTTTGCCCATGCTGGCAACCCCCCCACTCCCTGGTGGCAGGTGCTGCAGGAGAAATTCTCAGAGTTTGCCAGCGAGACTGGCACGGCAGGGCGGGAGCGGCTGGCAGCCGTGAACCAAATGGTGGATGAGCTGATCGAGTGTGGCCACACGGCGGCGGCCACCATGGCCGAGTGGAAGGACGGGCTGAACGAGGCCTGGGCCGAGCTGCTGGAGCTTATGGGCACGCGGGCCCAACTGCTGGCTGCCTCTCGGGAGCTGCATAAGTTCTTCAGTGATGCCCGAGAACTCCAAGGACAGATTGAGGAGAAGCGGAGGCGACTGCCTCGACTGACCGCCCCGCCGGAGCCGAGACCCAGTGCCAGCTCCATGCAGCGGACCCTGCGCGCCTTTGAACATGACCTGCAGCTGCTTGTGTCCCAGGTTGGGGGCTGGTGGCCAGGAGGGGCTGGTGGGAGGACCTGGCAGCATGGCCAAAGGACGGGGGCAGCAGTGCTGGCAAAAATTGGGCTGTGGACCACGTTGAAATTAGACGGTGGACTAGACAGAAAACAGACCACAGAACAGGGAGAAGTTATATGATGGGGCAGGTGGAAAATGGACTGATTGCATGGGGTGCGGAATCAAACAATGACAAGAAAGAAGTGGTATAGTATGCCTGATAGAAATCAGACAGTGTTTCCAAGGGAGGTTGGGCAGGGGTTCTTGTGAAAACTGCGGAGTGAATCTTACCCAAAGTCCAATGGAGAATCTAAAAAGAATTGCAAGGAAGTTGAGAGAAATTTGGCTGCAAAGCAAATAGAAATTAGACCGCAGGTCTCTGATAGAAATCACATGATTTTCCCTGAAGAAATTTGATGGGGTTGGATCTCATGAGTGGAAATCAGGGCTAATAGGAATCAGGGAGTGGGTTTGATAGGAATTAGGAGGTAGATCTGAGAAACTGGATGAAAATGAAGATGTGGGCCTCACAGGATGCAAGCCACAGAACTGAAGGAAATAGGGTTGTAGGTCTAGTGGAAGGTAGAAATTGAACAATTGTTTTATATATATGATATGAAAGACCATTAGAAGTCAAGCAGAGATTGATAGTGATTATGTGGTGGATCTGACACAAATATGATGGTCCTCTGAAAGAAGTCAAGTGGCTGAAACCATGAAGAGTGAGCAGTGACTAACTCACACTGCAGAGCTAGTGGAAATTGGATGGGAGACCTGCTAGCAATTGAATAGAGATCCTGAAGGAAATTGGGTGATAGGGAGTGGTCTGAAAAAATTGGACAGCACATCTAATAGATGTCAGGGTGAGGAAGGGCTTCCTGAAAGAAATTGCATGGGTCTGAAACAAGGCGGGGGGCGGGTGCTGAAAAAGCGAGGTGGCAGACCCAATAGAAATAGAGCTCTCAGACTAGAAGTCAGACAGTGGGCCGAAAGAAACCTGAAGGTAGGTGTAAAAGAAGTCAGAATGCAGGTCAGTCACAGAAACCTTAGGCAGCAGACATGAGAGAAATAAGGTAGTGGGTCAAAAAGAAGTCAGAGAGTGTGAAGGTCAAAAAGAAAGCGGGCAGTGGCTAGGAATGGAACTCACTGGAATCTCAAGGGTGCAGGCTCCTTACTTCTTCAGGCTCTGCACCCAGTCCGCAGATGAGGGGTGGGGGCGAGGGTGGAGCCTGGATCCCCATGGAGGTCTGGTCCGTGTGCTCCTCAGGTACGGCAGCTGCAGGAGGGAGCAGCCCAGCTGCGGACGGTGTACGCGGGCGAGCACGCGGAGGCCATCGCCAGCCGGGAGCAGGAGGTGCTGCAAGGCTGGAAGGAGCTGCTGGCAGCCTGTGAGGACGCCCGCCTGCACGTGAGCTCCACGGCTGACACCCTGCGATTCCACAGCCAGGCCCGAGACCTGCTCTCCTGGATGGATGGCATCGCCGGCCAGATTGGGGCNGGCCATCGCCAGCCGGGAGCAGGAGGTGCTGCAAGGCTGGAAGGAGCTGCTGGCAGCCTGCGAGGACGCCCGCCTGCACGTGAGCTCCACGGCTGACACCCTGCGATTCCACAGCCAGGCCCGAGACCTGCTCTCCTGGATGGATGGCATCGCCGGCCAGATTGGGGCAGCTGACAAGCCCAGGTGCCCCTCTTCCCACCTCGGGTTTCCTCCCTGCCACCGGGCAGCCACCCTCAGCCCCTCCACAGTCCCCTTCCCATAAAAAAAAAAAAAAAATCACCATAGCCAATACCTGCGTGGCTCCTCTGCCTGCCATGCATTGTTCTACAGGCTCCTCATGTGTGAAGACCCCTTGTCACGCCTGCCATCGAGCTCAGAGCACAGGGCCTCCTCTGCCTCTGTAGGGGTGTCACAGCATGGGATGGATTAAAGCCAGGATAGGGATGGGGAGGTGTATGTGGGGCTTGACCTAGTAGGCACTGACTTACTGCTCACATCATGGCTTGATGTGAGTATGCAGCAGAAGCCTCTCCCACAGTGGCTGGGAACCAGTGTCCTTCTGTCATCAGCCCTGACATGAGTTGCTGGGCCTTCTGCATCCAGCTACAGATGAGGAAAAGAGAGCTGAGGATACAACTGGAGGTTTTAGAGACTAAACCTGTACTTGCATCTCTGGCTCAGTGGTCCAAACCTGTCTGCTAGGGGCTCTGAGAAATGTAGTCCAGCAGTGTGTCCAGGAAAACAAGGATGTGGAGAGTAGTGGATACATAGCATTGTTTCTGTGACTGTGAGGACTGGAGTCTGCATTCATTTACTCAGCAAATATTTACTGATGCCTACCATATGCCAGAGGCCTTCCCAGGCGGTGCTAGTGGTGAAAGAGCCCGCCTGCCAACTCTGGAGACGTAAGAGATGTGGGTTTGATCCCTGGGCTAGGAAGATCCCCTGGAGGAGGGCATGGCAACCCACTCCAGTATTCTTGCCTGGAGAATCTCACAGAGGAGCCAGGTGGGCTACAGTCCATAGGGTTGCTGAGTCAGACATGACAGAAGTGACTTAGCACACATGCACGCACGCACTGTATGCGTGCAAGGTCAAGCCCCTGACCAGTGCAGCTTACATTCTGAGGGAGGAATCAGGCAACAGATAAGTCAATAAACAAACACTTAATATTATTCCAGATAGTAATAAAAGAAAAATAAGCAAAGTAAGGGGACCTGAGTGCAGTGATGGTGAATTGGGTAAAGTTTTGGGGGAAGGGTCTTCCAGGTGAAAGGATCAGCAAGTGCAAAGGCCCTGAGGTAGGTTGTAGTTAGATATGTTTGTGGAAAAGCTAGATGATCATTGTGGCTGGACAGAGTGAGTAAGCGGGAGAGTGGAAGGTGGTAGGAAGTGAGCTTAGAGGGACAACAGCCTGATGAGGGCTTCCCATATGGTGGTTAAAGAATCCACCTGCCAGTGCAGGAGATGCAGGAGACATGGGCTGGATCCCTGGGTCAGGAAGATCCCCGGAGTAGGAGCTGGCACCCCATTCCAGTATTCTGGCCTGGAAAATTCCGTGGGCAGAGGAGCCTGGAAGACTGCAGTCCATGGGTCCTCAAAGAGTCAGACACGACTGAGTGCTGGGTGTGGTGAGGAGTTTGCCTTTTTTTTGGAGTGAAATGGGAGCCACCAGAGAGTTTGGAGCAGGAGGAGAGGGTGATGTGATATGGTGTATATTTAAGAAAGATCAATCCAGGTGCTTGTGGGAAGTGAGAGTGTGGAGGGCCAGGGTAGAAGCAGGCAGGCTGCTCAGGAGGCTCCTGCCATCATCCAGGGCACAAGGTGACGTTGGCTTGACCCAGGGTGGCGGCTGAAGAAATGGGAAGAAGTGATCGATTTTAGGAAAAAATGAAAAAACTTTTTATTATGAGAAATTTCAACTCTCCCCTGAAGTAGCAGTAACAGAGGGAACCCATGGGTGTACAGTGAATACCCAGCCAGTCTTCGTCTATGTACTCCCCTCCGCCCCCTCCACCCTAAGCTATTTTAAAACAAATACCAGATTTCGTATCATTTCACAGAGTATATTTTAAAACATTTTTAAAAGATTTTTTAGAAAATTTATTTATGGCTGCACTGGGTCTTCGTTACTGCAGGCTTTCTCTAATTGTAGCGAGCAGGGGCTACTCTCTAGCTGCAGTGTGCAGGCTTCTCATTGCAGGGGCTTCTCTTGTTGCAGAGCATGGGCTCTAGGCACATGGTTCAGTAGCTGCAGCTCATGGGCTCTAGAAATCTAGCTCAGTAGTTGTGGCACACAGGCTTATTTGCCCAAAGGCACGTGAGATCTTCCTGGACTGAGGATCGAACCTGCATCCCCTGCATTGGCAGGCGGATTCTTCACCACTGGACCATCAGGGAAGCCCATTTCACAGAGTATGTTTTAAAGTTATAAATGTCCAGTCTTGACTGATGGATTAGGTTCTGGAGCTGAGGGGAAAAAAGGGAGTTATAGATGAATAATGGGTGAATTTATTGAAGTAGAGAATTTCAGGGAGGATATGTTCAGGAGATGGGAGAATCAGGGAGACTGTTCTAGGCATACTAAGTCTTAGGTAGGAATTGTAACAATGTGGATGATCAGAAATAAATTTGAACATATTCAACATTAAATCTTTTTTTTTTTTTTTTTTTGAAATCCANCTTCTGGGATCCTAGTTCCCTTACCAGGGATTGAACACAGGTCCTCAGCAGAGAGAGTGTGGAATCCTAACCACTGGGCTGCCAGGAAAGTCCCTGGACATATTAAGTCTTATAGGGCTATACTTGTTGATTGATGGAACCTTCAGAAATTTGGAATTTGTTTTGGCCATATAACAGTTTAGAATGGCCAATAATTATACAACACACACCACAAATGTGATCCATATATATAATTTAAGATTTTCTTGTAACCACATTAGAAAAAGTAAAAAGAAGCAAGTGAAAATTCATTTTAGTAATTCATTTTATTTAACCTGTTCATGCGTGCATGTGTGCTAAATTGCTTCAGTCATGTCCGACTCTTTGCGATCCTGTGGACTATAGCCTGCCAGCCTCCTCTGTCCGTGGGATTCTCCAGGCAAGAATACTGGAGTGGGTTGCCATGCCCTCCTCCAGGGGATCTTCCCAACTCAGGGATCCCCCGTGTTTCTTAAGTTTCCTGAATTAACAGGCAGATTCTTTACCACTAGCGCCACCTGGGAAGCCCTTTACTCAACAAAGGATACTCTAAATATGATTACTTGAGCATGAAGTGAATATTAAAATTATTGAGATATTTTTCCTCCTTTTTTTATACTAAATCTTCAAAGTATGGTGTCTGCTTGACCCTTGAACACATCTCAAGTCAGAGTAACCCCATTTCAAGTGCTTGACTGCCACATGTCTAGTGGTTACCCTCTGGGACAGCAGAGACTTAGAATCACGGGTTAGTGGAAGCTTCATAAGTATAGCGTTAGAGGATTAGAAAAATTGGATCTTGAAATTCTCAGAATCACCAAAGTGGGACATTTTAGCACTCTGGGAGAAGTTGGAATCATTGAATCAGTGAAGGGTGGCCCCTCAGAACCTGGTTGTGGGAGGTGGGCGGGGGGAACGCCAGCCTGAGGGATCTGGGCTTATCACAAGAAGTGTATGTGGGGTGGGTTGAGGGAGGCGGCCCGAGGCTCAGATCCCTACCCGCCACCCATTGTAGGGATGTGTCATCGGTGGAGGTGCTCATGAACTACCACCAGGGCCTGAAGACTGAACTGGAGGCCCGGATGCCAGAGCTGACAGCATGCCAGGAGCTGGGGCGCTCTCTGCTGCTCAACAAGAGTGCTGTGGCTGACGAGGTGGGAGGGGCTGGGGCTTCCCCTTTGTCCTCTGTGCCCATCAGCGTGGCGGGCCAGCCCTGATGCCTGTCCCAACCACCTGCCACTCCCAGATCCAGGCGCAGCTGGACAAGCTGGCCACCAGGAAGGAGGAAGTGTCGGATAAGTGGGACCGCCACTGGGAGTGGCTGCAGCAGAGTGAGTGTGGGCCCAGACACACGCGGCTCAAGGGCACAAGGACAGCATGCCCCAGCGTGTCAGGAAATGCCCATGGGTCCCCAGCGGCAAACACGAAGGCCTGGGCAAGTGGACAAGGAGGCTGCCCTGGCACTGACTCCCAACACCTAGGGGAGCAGCTGGTGTCCTCAGAAATAGCTCAGCCCTTCACCTTCCTGCAAAGCCCAAAGTGGCCAGGGCTGGGATGGAGGAAGCCAGAGCGGGTGTGGAAGGGCAGAGAAAACAGCCCCCAGGTAGGGCCCCGGGTGCCCCCAGCACCCTTCCCCTGAATGTCTCTCCTCAGTGCTGGAAGTGCACCAGTTTGCCCAAGAGGCAGTGGTGGCCGATGCCTGGCTGACAGCCCAGGAGCCGCTTTTGCAGAGCCGGGAGCTGGGCAGCAGCGTGGACGAAGTGGAACAGCTTATCCGGCGACACGAGGCCTTCCGCAAAGCAGCTGCAGCTTGGGAAGAAAGGTTCAGCTCTCTGCGGCGCCTGACCACGGTCAGCACCCCATTTCCTGCCCCAGACCCCACCCCCTACGGCCCCACATCCATCTCTCTATATGAGACAAACACACGGCCGATACACATCCTCCACACTGTGTTGAATGAGGGCTGAGACAGATCATCACTGTGTTTCCAGTCCTGGGGGCGAGATTGAAGGGAGAGGGGACAGAGTGTCGCCTGTCACCAGTGACAGTCCGGGGCTAGGATGAGGGAAGCACAGGGGAACGTGAGAACCCAGAACCTAGAAGCACTTGTCCTGGCCTGGGAGGAGTCTGATCTGATACTTGAAGAATGAGGAGATCATTGTAATAAAAAGTCTCAAGATCCTGAAGGAAGGAGGCAGTGGGTGGGAGCGGAAAGGCATCTACGATGCCTTTAAAAGCAATGATTTAACCAGTTATTAAATGAGTGCTAGGTGCTTGCTGGAGAAAATAGGAATTAAGCTTCTAGCCAACCCTGCTTTTTCACTGATAAGAACCAATAAACTGGGCGGTGAGGCAGACGACCCAGAGCCACCTTCCCAGCCCCCACCTCCACCCTGTCCCTCCACTGGAGCCTGGCCCCTCTGTCCCCAGATTGAGAAACTCAAGGCAGAACAGAGCAAGCAGCCGCCCACCCCGCTCCTGGGGCGCAAGTTCTTTGGAGACCCTACGGAACTGGCGGCCAAGGCCGCGCCCCTGCTGCGGCCAGGGGGCTATGAGAGGGGCTTGGAGCCCCTGGCCCGCCGGGCCTCGGACACGCTCTCGGCCGAGGTGCGGACCCGGGTGGGGTACGTGCGGCAGGAGCTCAAGCCGGAGCGCCTCCAGCCGCGCATCGACAGGCTGCCCGAGGTCACGGGGAGGGTGGAGCCTACGGCCCAGCCGGCGGCAACAGAGGACGCCGCTGAAACCCCCGGGACCCCTGCGGTAGTCGCAGCGGAGCAGGTCCGGCCGCGGCCCGAGCGACAGGAGTCAGCTGATCGCGCAGAGGAGCTGCCCAGGAGGCGGCGGCCCGAGCGGCAGGAATCGGCCGATCAATCTGAGGAGGCTGCGCGGAGGCGGCGGCCAGAGCGGCAGGAGTCAACGGAGCACGAGGTGGCACACAGCCTTACCCTGGGCCGCTACGAGCAGATGGAGAGGCGACGGGAGCGGCGGGAGCGGCGGCTGGAGCGGCAGGAGTCCAGCGAACAGGAGATGCCCACCAGAGGAGACCTGGCCAAGGGGTGAGGCCTAGGAGGTGAAGGAAGGGGAACAAGGAGAGCTCCTGGAGTTGCGCAGGCCCAGAGGCGAGGGTTTCCAGGTTCAGAATTGCCTAGCTCCCGGGATACATTTGTGGTACCCACTGTACAGAGATGTAAACTGAAAGAGGCTGAAAGAGGGTAGGAGTCCTGCCCAATAACCCACAGTAGCAGCGGCTTCCTTCAGGTGCAGGTTGTCAGGTACCGGTCCTGACCCCTGCATCAAATCCCCTGGGTGACCCTGAGCAAGGGTTTCACCCTCTCTGCATCTCAGTTTCTCCACGAGGGCTAACGGTGGAACCATCACCTCTCTGATTGGAGTTAAGATCCTTCATCACCATCTCCACTTTATAAACTGGGGGATTTTATGGACAGAGCAACTGAGGCTCAGAGAGGGCAATTCACTCAGTTTGGGTGAAACAGGACTGGAACCCAGACCTTTCAGAATCCAGAATTAATGAGAATGTGTCATGTGGATCACTTCAATCAGCCGTGTGCCCAGAAAGAGGCCTTTGGTCAAAGACGTTTCAGTGACAGTGATTTCCAGACCCCTTTTAAATTTTGTATTTCACGAACACTGGCCGAGCGCCCACTCTGTGTGTGGTATGTGCTAGGGAGAGCAATGACCCAACCAGCTCCAGCCCTGCTTTCATGTGGCTCACAGTCCAGTGGGAGAAACAGATTTGTCACCAGAGAGTATGATGCAGAGTGATCAGGGGCTGGGAGGGGGCAAATCCAGGGAGCCTGAAAGCTTAGGGGATGGGTGGAAAAAGGCAGCGGTGTGTTCAAAGGCTTGAAGGCACCGGTTTGCATTTTGGTCTTTGTGTTGCTTAAAACTCAAGAGGGCAGAGAGGTTCCTTCGTCCACTTCGCAGACGCAGTGCTGAGCACCCATGGTGTATAAGGCAGACAGCCAAGACAGGCAGCTGCGGAAGTGGACAGGGACCTGGCCTCTCAGGCTAACATGTGGAGGCTCCTCCAGCCAGCCAGGCTGGTCTCTGGGAGAAGGCATCCCAGTCCCAGTGAATCTTTCTGCACCCTGCCCCCAGGAAGGCCACCCTGGCTGACATTGTGGAGCAACTGCAGGAGAAAGAGGCAGGCCCAGGGCTCCCTGTTGGGGTAAGTTGAGCCTTGGCATGGGTGGGGGTATGGGGGCCCCTCTCAGAGCAGGAATTAGGATTCCAGAAACACAGGAGCCTAGCCCTGCCCCCTATCTGAACTGTGCAGAGAAACTCTTGGGATGGACAGCGGCCCTGAGACACCTACCACAATCTGAAATTTTCTCCCTTAGAAAGATGAGGCCACCGACCTAAGAAATTCCTACCACCCTACACACACACACACACACACACAGATTCCAGACTTTCCACATTTGTCCTAGACCCTTTCCTCTAAGCACAGCAGGGGTCTCAGTATTCCTTACTGACAACGATACACAAAGAAGGCCCCGGATTCCTCCTACAGATAGATAGGACACCCACCTGCCCGCATCCCCACCTCCATAGGACCAGAGCCCTTACCCCCAAGATCTAGAGGGATTCCAAACATAAGAGTCCTGACAGGCCCACTCCCAAGATCCAGGGAGTCCTTAAGCGTTGGGACTCCAACCCTGAGGTCCTCCCAGACTCGCCTCCAAGACAGATGGCCCTGCAGACAGATGGGACTCCCCAGGCCCGTGAGTTCCCCCAGACAGATGGCCCCCCACGCCCCACTATGGACAGCACCCCTCTTCCCCCTCCCTTCACACAGCCTTCGCTGCCTCAGCCTCGCGAACTTCCCCCCGGCCGCCTTCCCAACGGGCTTGAGCCGCCCGAGCGGACACCTCGGCCGGACCGGCCGCGGGCGCGGGACCGGCCCAAGCCGAGACGGCGGCCGCGGCCCCGAGAGGGTGGTGAGGGCGGGGGAAGCCGGCGCTCGCGCTCCGCCCCGGCCCAGGGCGGCTCCGCCCCCGCGCCTCCACCACCGCCCACTCATACAGTGCAGCACGAGGGCTTCCTGCTGCGCAAGCGCGAGCTCGACGCTAACCGCAAGTCGTCCAACCGGTGAGCGTGTGGGCGGGGCTCTGGAAGGCGGGTCCCAAGCTCAGTGCCCAATGAATGAATAGGTGGGCCTGGAGAGGGGGTGGGGCCAAACTCTAGGGCGCCCAACCCGTGGTGGGGTAGGCGGGGCCTGAGAAGGGGGCCTTAAGTTCAAAGAATCAAGCAATGTGAACGAGAGAAGCGGGGCTTAAGGTTAGTGTGAAAAAAAAAAAAAATAAGGTTAGTGTGACCAATGGGTGAGCCGGCGGAGCTTAGATGGGACGGGACCTGAAGAAGACGTTATTGCTACTCAAGTCTCAGATCAACCAACCCAGGAGTTAACTAGAGCTAACAGCAAACTATATGTGGGGTCTGGTCAAGAGGGTTCTCAAGATCTGTGAGGTGGAGCCTGGAGAGGTCCTTCAGCTAATGAGTAGGGTGGGTTAATTATTTCAGTTTCAGACTGCGGAAGGATCTGATAAGGGACTGATCCCAAACTGAGGAGTGGGGGCACCTCATATAGGTTTCCTTCCGGATGGGGGGCCTGACAGTGATGTGTCTACTCTTGGGAGTCCAGCTGTCCAACCCTTTTTTGTCCAACTGGGAGTCAGAATCTAGGGAGAGGTGGAGCCCAAAAGGGAAGAGTTGAACAAGCAGAATGAGTTGGGCGGAACAGATTGAGGTTTTGTCTGTGGGGTCTGGAGTTAGTCTTTCCTCCTTGTGCTGAGACCAAGGGGCACCTTGGGGGTATTTTGCTTGTGGGAGACTTCCTCCTCGGCTGGGGCTTTGGTTGAATGGGGAGATAAGAATTCCTCTTTTCAGACATAGGCTAGTAGATCAGCCCTTCAGGGGATTTTTGGACGAGGGTGAACAGGGGTGGAGGAGTAGCAAGGAACATGCCCAAGCAAAGGCTTGTGGAGGAGACAGCTTAAGTGTTGCCTTCAGGAACTTCAGTGTGGGAGGGGATGAGGAAGAGCAGTTCCAGCAGGGGCCAGTCTGGGCAAAGGCTTGGTTCCCAGAGACTGGGACACTCCTCTCAGCTTCACAACTGCCATAAGGAAGCGTACTCCCGGCGTGTGGCTCAACTAGGGCAAAGGCCCGGAGGGAGGAAGACTCAGGCATATTCAGCCCCCAAAGGGCATCAATGAACAATACCCAGGCAGAGTGCTTCGACTCTGCCTTGAGCCCCATCTCATTGCCCCAGGTCATGGGTGAGCCTGTACTGCGTGCTCAGCAAGGGGGAGCTGGGTTTCTACAAGGACGCCAAGGGCCCGGCATCCGGGGGCACACACGGCGGGGAGCCACTGCTCAGCCTGCACAAGGCCACCAGCGAGGTGGCTAGTGATTACAAGAAAAAGAAGCACGTCTTCAAGCTCCAGTGAGCCCCCTCAATGAGCGAGCGGGAGGGTCCCAGACCCAGCTTCCCCCTCCCAACAATACCCTGCTCCCCTGGAGGACAGTCAGTAGATGGGTGGATGGGTGGGCTGTGCCCCTGGTCCTGGAGTCCCCAAGTCTTGTGTCCTCTCCCACAGGACCCAGGACGGCAGCGAGTTTTTGCTCCAGGCTAAAGATGAGGTGAGATCTGATCGTTTCTCTCCCTATTCCAACCTCAGGAACCAGCTGGCTGGCTGGCTGGCTCCTGGCCCTGAGTGATGGGGCTATGAAGAGGGAAAGTGCCAGCCAGAGTTACCTGGGCTGAATGGGCAAACCCATGGCAACGAGATTTCAGAAGTTCCTAGCCTAACTGTGGGAGATGGAGAATCAGAAGCGCTGCCTAGAGGCCCTAGGATAAAGTCCAACCTCCTTGCTTTGGCTTCTGAGATGAGACTGAAAAGTTAGGAGGGCATTAAGTTTAAAAAAAAAAAAGATGAACTGCAAGTACAAGGAAACAGAGGTACAGAATTGCAAAAGTTTAGGTGTGCTGAAGGACAGTTCAAGGAAGAAAGTTCTTAGAAAGGTTCCCTGAGGCTGGATCTCTAAGGACACTGCGGGTTGGTCCTGGAGTCCCCAAGTCTTGTGTCCTCTCCCACAGGACCCAGGACGGCAGCGAGTTTTTGCTCCAGGCTAAAGATGAGGTGAGATCTGATCATTTCTCTCCCTATTCCAACCTCAGGAACCAGCTGGCTGGCTGGCTGGCTCCTGGCCCTGAGTAATGAGGCTATGAAGAGGGAAAGTGCCAGCCAGAGTTACCTGGGCTGAATGGGCAAACCCATGGCAAGGAGATTTCAGAAGTTCCTAGCCTAACTGTGGGAGATGGAGAATCAGAAGCGCTGCCTGGAGGCCCTAGGATAAAGTCCAACCTCCTTGCTTTGGCTTCTGAGATGAGACTGAAAAGTTAGGAGGGCATTAAGTTTAAAAAAAAGAAAAAGATGAACTGCAAGTACAAGGAAACAGAGGTACAGAATTGCAAAAGTTTAAGTGTGCTGAAGGACAGTTCAAGGAAGAAAGTTCTTAGAAAGGTTCCCTGAGGCTGGATCTCTAAGGACACTGCGGGTCATTCAGGGGAGGCTGGCATTTATTCTAAGTACCCTAGGGAGGGACTTCCCTGGCAATCAAGTGGTTAGAACTCTGCTTTCACTGCTGAGCGCTGGGGTTCAATCCCTGGTCAGGGAACTAAGATCCCACAAGCTGTGCAGCACAGCAAAAACAGAACAACAAACAAAACAATTCTAAGGGCATGAGGAGGCCGTGGCAGAGTTTTGAGCAAGGGAAGTTTGCAGTGCTGCATAAGAAAGATCCCTTTGGCTGCCAGTGTGCAGGGTAGATTGGAGAGGGTGAATGGAGGAGTGAGGCACAGGCGGTGGGCAGGGCAGGGACCTGGGCGGGAGAGCACAAGGCTGGACCAGGACAGGCCTGTGGGGAGGGGTCGAGGAGGCAGGTGAGAGAGAGGAATTCGAGTGGGCCTTGGGACTGGGGCTAAGGGGAAAGGCAAGGGGAGGAGGAACAGGCAGAGAGGTGGTTTGAAGACATGTTGAAAATAGTAACACTTGCTACCCATTCATCTTCCCAAGAGGCTATGAAGTAGGCCTTCGTTCTCCTTTACTTATCTTTAAAATGGAAGTAAAAATAGTTTTCCATCATAGGGCTATTGTGAGAACTAAATAAATTGATACAAGTAGAATACTTACTAAGCTGGGAAATTTAGTGTCTGCTGATATTATTGCTTCTTGTTGTTTATCTCTATAGTGGGAGTTAGATATAATCCAATTGCATTGGATTAAGTGAGTTGATCCACAGAAGTGCTTAGAACAGTGTGTGTGTGTGTTAGTCACTCAGTTGTCCGACTCTTTTGTGACCCCATGGACTGACTGTCCCCTGCTAGGCTGCTTTGTCCATGAAATTCTCCAGGCAAGAATATTGGAGTGGGTTGCCATTCCCTTCTCCAGGGGATCTTCCCAACCCAAGGGATCGAACCCAGGTCTCCTGCACTGCAGAGGGATTCTTTACTGTCTGAGCCACTAAGGAAAAGCTAGGCACAAAATAAGTACTGAGTAACTATTTACTTCATCATCGTTGTTGTTATTTTTATTATTACCCCGTTTAATAGATGAGGAAGCTGAGGTTCAGAGTGGGCAGTCAGATTCCAGACTCATCTATTACTCAGTCTCCTTTCTTGCAAATATAGTCTATATGCCCTATTTCTCTCTCCAGGAGGAGATGAACGGCTGGCTGGAGGCTGTGGCTGCCTCGGTTGGGGAACACGCCGAGATCGCCCGCTGGGGCCAGACACAACCCACCACGTCGTCCACAGACGAGGGCAACCCCAAGCGGGAGGCAGGGGAGCGCAGGGCCAGCGGGCGCCGGAAGTGACTTCCCACCTCCTCGACCCTCCTCCCCGCACCGTGGGCACAAAGACACTTTCTCTTCCGTAGGGGCGGGAGCCCCTAGTCCCACCAACACTGAGGATGCGCCATGACCGGCACTGGAAAGGAGGGGACTTCTCCTGCACCCCCAAGAAATGGTGGGGGGATTGCTGCCCCTATAGCCATATCTCGGCCCCTTCCCGCTCGCCACCCCCACCCCAGGTGCTGGGGCTCTATTATTTTTATGCAATAACTGAGCTTGCGGGGGCGGGGGGCGGGTAAGGGGCCAGCTGAGCCAAGCACCCTGCCCCACGAAGCTGGGGTGGTAGGGGCGATAATTCCCGTCCCCACCCTCCGCCCTAGGGACGGGCATGGGGGCGCTGGTGAGGTCCCCTGGACCATCCAGGGTGCTAGGGGGTGGGGAGGGGACGCCCCCTCCCCGCCTTTACCTCACTTCCAATGCTGCCTTGATCTCTGTCTGGGAAGGGGGCGTGAAAGGGGCCCTAGCCTCCGCACTCCGCTGTCTCAGAGCCATGCGGTAATTCCTTAGTTTATTTTTGCAAAACGTCGACCTCCTCCTCCCCCGCCCCGCATCCGCGAAGGCTTTTAATGGGAGGGGCGTCAAAGCTCAAAACTGTCTTCCTCTCTCCTCCCCCCTCCAGTTGTAAATATGACATGGTGAGGGAAGGGGCGAGAGGAAGCCCTCCCCCCCTGCATGCTTCTGGCTGGAGCACCTCCCTGGGGAGTGGGGGAACTGGGTTGTGGGCAGCCCCCATGGCCACTTGGAGAAGCCGCTGGTCCAGGGGTGAGGAGAGGTGTGGCAGGCGCACACTCTATGTACCTATAATAAATCTTTTGGCTTTGACGGTCTATGCGGGTTTGTTCGCGTTTCATGGGCTGCACCTAGGAGGATTGGGTGGAGCGACAGGAAGAAACTGGCTTACAGCGGACATTTAGATGTCCCTCTTGGTGTGGACTAGTTTCGAGGTCTAAACTCGTGTTCCCGATTAAGCACCTAGATGCCACTCCTAAACTGGGAACCCCAGAGGAATGGAGGAACGGTCTGTTATCCGTGGTAACTAAACTTCCCCAAAGGAGCCGCTCGGTCCGCCCCGTCCAGGACAGGAAAGGCGGGACCCTTTAAGGAGGCGGAGAAATGAACCGCGATGGGCGAGCGTTTTGTCCAATCGCTAGCTGCTCTGGGAGTCTGCAGCCCAATGAGCACGCGGTGGGGGCGGGGGCGGGATGCACACCCGGAAGCGGGTGCAAGCCGGCCGGCTAGCCCGGGGGCCATGGCGGCCGCGGCCCCTGCAGTCGACGGGGTCCCAGGTCGAGGGCCTCCCGGAGAGGTGATTCATTTGAATGTGGGAGGCAAGAGGTGAGTGTAAGAGTTTCTTGAGTCACTACTCTAGGGGCCGGGGACCGGGCTGGGAGTACCCGCCTCTCCCGGGGGGGGCGGGGGGGGAATTCTGTCCATCAAGGATTGCTCCGCCCCCTGCTGGAGGAGCGGGAGCCTGGCGGGATGCTGGGGGAGGGAGGGAAACTTAACCGGGTCCTGAGATTGGGGGCCGCATTCTTCATCTTCCCTCCGTCATCTCGCGTCCGCTCACCGTTCCCGCACAGATTCAGCACCTCTCGCCAGACTCTCACCTGGATCCCAGACTCCTTCTTCTCCAGGTGATTGGGGAAGCGAGTTTAGCGTGGGGGACGGGAGGGTTGGGTATGGGGAGACCTCATCTCCCCGTTACACACACTCCGGCCCGTGACACCTGCTCTGCGTCCCCTCCCTGCAGTCTTCTGAGCGGACGCATCTCGACACTGAAAGATGAGACCGGAGCCGTGAGTAGAGCGAGAGCTGAAACGGGGCGGCTGGTAGGAGGAGGGACAGGAGCCCCACTCAGCCCCGCTCTTTGCCCCATCTATTCTCTGCCTCCCTTCCCCGCAGATCTTCATCGACAGGGACCCCACCGTCTTCGCTCCCATCCTCAACTTCCTGCGCACCAAAGAGTTGGACCCTAGGTGGGCATGGAAGATAATGGGGAGTCCCCCACGTCTTTACCCCTTGAGGAGTCTCTTCTTCCTCTCAGAATGTTCACTTAAGTCCTTTAGAATATCCCTCCCCAACACACACACACACACACACACACACACACACACACACACATATTTTCACCACCCAGATCATTTCTTCTTTAGAATCTTGATACCATCAACATTTGCTACCTCTTGAGATTCTCTCTGCAGTTTCAAATACTTGGTCCCCAGAATTCTCTGCCCAGTCCCACTCCCCAGATCCTGACACCTAGTCAATTCTACTACCCAGGGGTGTCCACGGTTCCAGTCTCCTCCACGAAGCCCAGTTCTATGGGCTGACTCCTCTGGGTAAGTGGCCCCACCCCCTTAGCATCCTCATAGAAAGCCAGCCCTCTAACGATACTCCCTCTTTCTCCTCACTTCTGAAAGAAGGTGGGGTTAGAGCTGAGAGCACTGGATTTGGTGGTCCTGGGTCTCAGGGGACGGGCGGTATTCTGTGAAGAAAGAGATGGGGGAGGGGGAAAGGTTCTGCCTCAGCCTTCTCCAAGTCCCAGCCTGTGAGTCCTTCTGCCTCAGTTCGTCGTCTACAGCTTCTTGAAGAGTTGGATCGATCTTCTTGTGGAAACGTCCTCTTTAATGGTTACCTGCCTCCACCAGGTGGGAACTACTAAGGAATATAGGGTGGGAATGGAGGGTGGGGGATTAAAGACTACATTTCCCATAAGGCTGCAGCCCTTGCATGCCTCAGCTGTGAGCCCTGAAACACTATGGGAATTGTAGTTCTATATCAGATGCTTTGACTAATGCTTGGAAAGGAAGTAGGAAACTGCGTTTCCAACGAGGCAGTGGGCCAATCTAGTCCCCTTGAGGCTCAGGTTTGCCTTGGAGCCCAATGGAAGTTGTAGTCCAGTTTTGATTTCCTTGTAGAGAGCCTGAGGGAGAACTGGTGTCCTTTGCATGGAGGGGAGAAATAGTAAAGGAGAGTTATTGACTGTAATCCCCATGAAGCAGCCAGCCCACTGGTCATGGAAAATATGCCCCAGTGGTTATTGGGAACTGTAGTCTACTATGCTTTGCTGATTGGTAGGAGGAACAGAGTTGGGGAGTTCAATTTATGACTTATTTTCCTAACTTCAGTCAGTACCTGTCACCTTCATGAAGTTTGCCAAATATGAAGACCTACTGTTCTCTTAACCTAGTTTGATCCTATATTTTTTTATTATTATTTTAAATAGAAGCTTTATATCACTGTCTTTTATGCCATAAATAAGTGGATGTGAAACATAACAGTGTAACTAAACTCTGGTTAGATGCTGTTGTCTGCCAAGGGAACAGGCTTCCATTCCTTAAAAGGAAAGATTAGCAAATACTGAAGAGGTATCATTATCATCGCATCCCCAAACTGATTCTTTGTGATGGGCTCAAAGGAACTGATAAGGGAGCAGCTCACTATGTGATTCAGTGTCACCTAATGCCATGTCCCTGCACCACCAAAAATCCTTTCTCTAGGAGATGATGCTACCTGTGTGAGAAAATCAATATCTGGCACATTTTAAGTTCTTGCTCTGTGACAGTTTTTACAGTTATTACAATGATTGTTGCTCTGCCCCTTCTTTCTGCAATAGTGTTCCCGGTGAAGCGGCGGAACCGGCACAGCCTGGTGGGGCCCCAGCAAGCAGGGGGTCGCCCAGCCCCTGTCAGACGGAGCAACACGATGCCCCCCAACCTGGGCAATGCAGGGCTGCTGGGCCGAATGCTGGATGAGAAATCCCCTCCCTCCCCGTCGGGTACATTTCTGCCTCATGGGAGATCGGGGTGGCCAGTGGGCCCTGTGACCCTTCCCTGATCCCTGCCTTTCCCCCAAGGGCTACCTGAGGAGCCGGGGATGGTGCGCCTGGTGTGTGGACACCACAGCTGGATCGCCGTGGCCTATTCCCAGTTTCTTGTCTGCTATAGGTGCTCAGGGAGGGTGGTGGGAGGAGGCCCTGAGCCCCGTTGATGCGGGTAGGGGATACTCAGGGTGAAGGTTGATGATGTCCCCCAATCCTCCAGGCTGAAGGAAGCCTCCGGCTGGCAGCTGGTGTTCTCCAGTCCCCGCCTGGACTGGCCCATTGAGCGCCTGGCACTCACAGCCCGTGTGCTTGGTGGGGCCTTGGGAGAGCATGACAAGATGGTGGCAGCGGCCACGGGCAGCGAGATCCTGCTGTGGGCTCTGCAGCCGGAGGGCGGTGGCTCTGAGATAGGTACGAGAGGGAGCCTGGTGGCTCAGTGGTAAAGAATCTGCCTGCAGTGGAGGAGACCCGGATTCGATCCTTGGGTTGGAAGATCCCCCAGAGAAGGGGGAACCCACTCCAGTATTCTTGCCTGGAGAATTTCATGAACAGAAGAGCCTGGTGGGCTGCAGTCCATGGGGTCCCAAAGAGTCGGGCGCAACTGAGCGACTAACACTTTCACTTTCTTTCTGAGATAGGTATGGCCCCAGGCTTTTTCTAGAACCCTTTCACTCTTTATAATCCTGCTCCAACCTGTGGCTTGTTAAAACAGCCACCCTACACAATTCTCATACCTGTAAGACTTTGTGTTGTTACAATGTGCCAACCCTTTGAAATTCTGTATCCCATTAGCATTCCTTGGTCTGGTAGAAAAATCCACCCACATACAGTTCTCTCCTCTGTCAGAATTCACGGTCCTGTTCGATCTCTTTGCTTTGGTAGAATTCTCCATGCCAGTAGAATCCCTGAACCTGTTAGAATCTGTTCCTGTTAGAAATCTGACTCTTTAGACTAATCTGTTCCCTGACCAATCTTAATCCTCGTGAGAATCCTCTGCCACCCATAGGGTTTTTTGCCTTTGTTGAAAATCTCAGCTGAATTCCACACTCTGTTAGAGTCCCACACCCTAGCAGGAATCCAGCCCATCGTAATCCTCTCTAATTCCTGCTGGAATCCTCTAGTCTGTAAAGACTCTATGACTGAATTGAATCCTCTGGCCCTTGGAGTTCTCAAGTTCTCGAGTTCTCGCTGCCACCGCACTTCTCCCACCGTGAGAGGGGGTCCTGGCTGAGCCCTTCTTACCCTCTGCAGGAGTCTTCCACCTAGGGGTGCCTGTGGAGGCCTTGTTCTTCGTTGGGAACCAGCTCATCGCCACAAGCCACACAGGGCGCATCGGCGTGTGGAATGCTGTCACCAAGCACTGGCAGGTCAGGGGGCTGGCCAGCCTGGCCGCCTCTTTCCCAGGGGTCCAGACCAGTCAGACCCAAGGAGGGGCTCTTTTCTGGCCCATCTGACCCAAAGAACCAAAGGATCTAGTAGTGGGCCAGATGCAGTGTCACAGTGAGGTGGAGTATGGTAAAGGCCTAATGAGGATCTGGGAGGCCTTCCTGGAAGAGGGGCTGCTGAGCTGACATGAAGGATGGGTGGGTTTGGAAAGGAAGAGAGGGATCTCCAGGTACTGGGGTAGCCAAGCGGGTAAGGGGAGATAGTGTAGGAGGCTGAGACCCAGAGACAGATGTGCAAGTGTTTGTCATTCTTTTTGCACTCACCCCAAGCTCTGTCCAGCGTGTAAAATGTGTGTGTGTGTATGTGTGTTGTTGTATGTGTGTATGTGTGTAAAATGTGTGTTGTTTTCTAAAGTGTGAGTTGGGTGAGAGAGATGGACAAGCAAAGAAATGAGAGAAAGAAACAGAAATGGAGAGAAATAAATAGAAACAGGAAGTCAGAGGCAAGAGAGAGAGCGAGAAAGAGGGTGGATGGAGAGACACCAGGACTGAATGATTGTGGTAGATGAAGGGACCACAGAGAGATGGAGATGAATAAAGAAATGCCAGGGGTAATAAA